ACCGCGGGATCCGAGGCCCGGGGTCTCTAGAGGTGCCCCTGGCCCCACGAGCTCTCGCGCACGCGGAGGACTAGAGGTCTGGCTCTCCGAACCGGAACTCCGTGCGCCGACTACAGGGCGGCACACCAGGACTCGGTGCGCGCGGGGTGAGGGTGAGACTTCGCTGTAGCCGTTATCTCTCGGAAGTCCCATCCGGCCTGCGACCTAGGACTGTGCCTCCTAAGCGTCCGCCGCTCCCTGGTGCGCCAGATGTGGCTCCGGGAAGCTTCCAAGTGTCCTTACGGAGACAGAAGGGTTTGATTCGGGGATTTTTGGGGACACCCGTCCTCGTAATTTCCGAGAGGACCGAAAGACTCGCAGAGGGGGACGCTGACCAGCGTTATTAGGCTGCTGGACGAATCCGAGTCTGGGCGCTGGAAAAGCCCCTCGGTCTCCTTTAAAGCGAGCTGGGACTTTACCAACGCTCCTCCTCTCCGGGCTGTTTAGAAAACGCGGATTAGCAGATTTCCTCAGAGCCGGAGGGGAGGGGCGCGCGTCAGTCCTGCGCATGCTCAGTGCCACCCGCTCTTGGCTAGAGCGGCCTGGGACGGTGCAGCGGGTTCGTGTGTTGCGGGTCTCTCATGGAGGCTCCCGGGACGCCAGGCGGCGGGGTCTTGAAAGGTGAGGGGAACTCCCGCACTCTGGGAGTTGAGTCGGAGGCGGCGGGCGGGCTTGAGGGCGGGCGCCCAGATCTCGGCGAGCGTGTGGACGGAGCTCGCGGGGCTCGTGGGGACGCGAGCTTGGCCTTTCCGGAAGTCAGCCCGGCATCCTGTGGAGGGAGGCTGTCCCCGTGTGCGGTGTTCTCACCGTCCCTGTGGAGAGTGGGGGGCTGTCACCGTCCCTGTGGGGTGTCCCTGTGGGGAGTCCCTGTGGGGAGTGGGGGGCTGTCCCTGAGTCCACTACCGTCACCGTCCCTGTGGGGTGCCCCTGTGGGGAGTGGGGGGCTGTCCCCGAGTCCAGTACCGTCACCATCCCTGTGGGGTGTCCCTGTGGGGAGTGGGGGGCTGTCACCATCCCTGTGCGGTGTGGCGGGGACTGTCCCCGAGTCCAGTACTGCCATCGTCCCTGTGGGGTATCCCTGAGTCCAGTACTGTCACCGTCCCTGTGGGGTGTCCCTGTGGGGAGGGGGGCTCTCCGAGTCCAGCACTGTCACTGACCCTGTGGGGTGCCCCTTTGGCGAGTGGGGGGTTATCATGTGGGGCATGGAGGCGACTGTCCCCCAGTGCGGTGCTGTCACCGCCCCCGTAGGATGTGGGGGCTGTCCTTGAGTCCCGTGTGTCACCTCTGTGGATGCGGGGGCTGCCCCCCTGTACACAGTGTAAAGTTGGGTGGTTGTATGGTCCTTTGTGGAGAACATACTCTTCACTAGGAAAGTTGAGCACGGTTTGGGAATCTGGGGAGTTAAGCAGGGTTTAGGAATTTGGGAAGAGCATCCAGCGTTAAGAAGGTAAGCCCCACATGCGCATGAATAAAGTTGTTCTTGGCTTGAAGTTTTAAGAACCCTAGTAGCACTGATGCTATTTGGCGTAGGTGTGTGTTAGAAGAAGCTTTAAATTTACTTTTTGATGTAAGTAGAACAAGATGAAAATCTGTTGAAATCCTTGGAGAGGAATGTTAGAATTTCAAATATATTACATGTCGTGGGTTTTAAAAAAAATTTTTTTTAGTATTTGTTAATTTTTGATAGAAAGAGAATCCCAAGCAGGCTGGGAGCTCTCAGCTCGACGCCCAGGAACTGTGAGATCATGACCCGAGTGGAAGTCCGATCCTTAACCCACCAGCCCCCCAGGAGCCCTAAATCGGTTGCGTGTTAATACCTTGTTTGTTTTCAGATGTAGTGGCCTATGTTGAAGTCTGGTCAGTAAACGGAACAGAAAATTATTCAAAGACATTTACAAACCAACTTGTGGACATGGGAGCAAAGGTGAGAAAGTCATTTTCCCCCGGCTGCGCGTGGCAGTCCTCTTTACATGATAGAAATACTTGGATTTTCTTGTTTTGGGAGTTACTGCTTAGAACATGAAGGAAGAAGGACAAAGGCAGTGCGTAGGTGGCGGGTGGGCCACGTTGCATGATGGGACCACATTATAACAGTGAGATTACAGAACAGTTGGTTTTGTGGGTGGTGAGAGGAGACTCTAGGATAGACACGGGGCTTCTGCCATTGGTTAATTGGATGCAGGATGTTGTTGGCCGAAGTGAGAAATATAGGAGGAGGAAGAAATCTTTTAAGGGAAAGATTGCGAATTTGGGCCTATTGAAAACATCTGACGGACATTTGGATCCACACATAGGGAATTTGAGATAGTTAAGGCTAGAGGTGACATTTTAGGGGCAAGACCCTGTGGGCCAGGTGTCATGGCTCAGGTGTTTAGGATGAAAGGTGCTGAGAGTGGAGCCTATTTAGTGTGTGGAGGACAGGTGATGGGAGCCCTGGACCCAGGGACGAAAGGAGAATGCCGGGAGATTCTGGAAAACAAGTCTGCACGTCAGAAGAGGGATGAACTTCAAAGATGGAACTTTAAAACCATTAACATGGGGCGCCTGGGTGGCGCAGTCGGTTAAGCGTCCGACTTCGGCCAGGTCACGATCTTGCGGTCCGTGAGTTCGAGCCCCGCGTCGGGCTCTGGGCTGATGGCTCGGAGCCTGGAGCCTGTTTCCGATTCTGTGTCTCCCTCTCTCTCTGCTCCTCCCCCGTTCATGCTCTGTCTCTCTCTGTCCCAAAAATAAATAAAAAACGTTGAAAAAAAAAAAAATTTAAAACCATTAACTTGGTGAGAAGATCGTTGAAGGCAGGGCCAGAGTTTAGGCTGAGGCAAGTGAGGCACCCAGGGTTTAAAACCCAGGGTGGCATTCACCTACGGGCAGAGAGGGTGCTTCTAAATTTTGTTGTCTTAGTCCCTTCCTTGATGGATAGATCAAAGGCTTTGTTTTGATACCTGCTGCATACTTGGGCTAAAACAAATTACACTGGCTGAGAAAAAGGCCGTGGAGTGTGGGAGCTGACAAAATGGCCTTTAATCGTAGTATTAAGGGGTGCCTGGGTGGCTCAGACGGTTGAGCGTCCGACTTCAGCTCAGGTCTTGATCTTGTGGATTGTGAGTTCGAGCCCCGCGTGAGGCTCTGTCCTGACAGCTCGGAGTCTGGAGGCTGCTTTGGATTCTGTGTCTACCCCTCTCTCTCTGGCCCTCCCCTGCTCATACTCTGTCTCTCTCTCAAAAGTGATAAACTTAAAAAAAATAAAAAAAGAGTAGTATTAAGATCTTAGATCTCCTTGGATCTTTTTCTTTTTCTCTTTTTTTTCTTTTTTCTTTAAGGTTGTTTACTTTTGAGAGAGTGAGAGCGAGCAGGGGAAGGGCAGAGAGAGGGAGAGAATCACCACGCTGTTGGTGCAGAGCCTGACGCGGACCTTGAGATCATAACCTGAGCCGAGACCAAGAGTCAGATGCTTAACTGGCTGAGCCCCGCCAGACGCCCCTGTTTCTCACCTTTTAATTGAGAAAATTTTCAGATAGAAAAGTTGAACAGAGTGACTCAATAATTGTTTTTTTTTTTAATTTTTTTAACGTTTATTTATTTTTGAGACAGAGAGAGACAGAATGAATGGGGGAGGGACAGAAAGAGAGGGAGACACAGAATTGGAAGCAGGCTCCAGGCTCTGAGCCATCAGCCCAGAGCCCAACGTGGGGCTCGAACTCACGGACCGCGAGATCGTGACCTGAGCTGAAGTCGGACGCTCAACCGACTGAGCCCCCCAGGCACCCTGACTCAATAATTGTTAACATCTTAACATACTTGTTGCGTCATCGTTTCTTCTATGCAGTATATTTATGTGTGAAAGTGTTTTTTCCTAAACTGTTTGAAAGTAAGTCCCAGATAACATTTGCCCCCAAACAGGTTCAGTATGTATCCTCTGAAAACAAACAGTTTTCCTGTATGATAGGCCATTTTCACATCTGAGGGAGACAGTGATGGTTCCGACTTGACACCTGTTACTTCTAGCAGCGTTCGAGAGCCCCACTGCCAACTGTACTTGGTTTTGTCTTTCCTGTCCGCATCTGGTGCGTGTCTGGTGGTATATCATCATGGCTTGAAATTCTTTCTGCATGTTTTCGTATATTTATTTTGAGTCTGTCCAGGGCTCCAGCTCTTAATTTCCATTGGATTTTTCCTTCTTGATTTGTAAGCATTCTCTCTATTTTTCAGTTGACCAGAATCTTTTCTGGCCATAGGAATTGCAAGATTTTCAGTTAACTCTGTGGTTTGTCTTTTCATCTTCTCTATGGTATCTTTTGTCGATAATTGTAACCCAGATTATTTCTTTGTGGTGAGCTTTGTTGTGTGGGTCTTGTTTAAAAAAACACAACTGTCTGTGCCTATACCAAGGTTATGAAGATTTCTCCTGTTATTTTCTGAAAGCCTTATTTTGCCTTTTATATCTAGATTTACGGTGCATCTGGAATTGGTTTTTATACATGGTATGAAATAGTTGTTTCATTTTTTTCCATGTGAATATTCTTTTATCTTAGCACCATTCGTTGACAAATCTCCTTTAACTGGTCTCCAAAGTAATACCTTTGTCATCAGTCAGTTCACCATATGTTTCTGTATCTGTGTATCTGTTCTCATGACAAACCAGTCTTAAGTGTTCTTTATAATGAAACTTCAGAAGTCTTTCTTTTTTTTCCTTCCAAGGTGTCCTGGCTGTTCTTTGACTTTTGCTTTTCCAAATATATAAGAATCAGTTTATCAGTGTACAGCATAAAGCTTTTAAAAATTTTTGAATGGGATTAGGATTGATAAAAATAGACCAGTATAGAGAGAACTGACATTTTTTATGAAATTGAATTTTCCAGCCCACGAACCTGTATGCCTTTGTTGATTTTGGTTTAATTTCTTTAAGTAATGTTTTATAGTTTTCTCTGGGCAGTTTTGATGCTATTATAAATGGCATCTTCTGGGGCACCTGGGTGGTTCAGTCGGTTAAGTGTCTTACTTCAGCTCAGGTCATGTTCTCACAGTCCGTGAGTTCGAGCTCCATGTCGGGCTCTGTGCTGACAGCTCAGAGCCTGTAGCTTGTTTCAGATTCTGTGTCTCCCTTTCTCTCTGACCTTCCCCCGTTCATGCTCTGTCTCTCTCTGTCTCAAAAATAAATACACGCTAAAAAAAATTTTTTTTAAATAAATAAATGGCATCTTCTAAATTCCTTTTTCTGTTACTTGTATATAGAAATAGTTAATTTTTGCATATCTGCCTTGTGTCCAGAAGACTTAGCAAAATCATTTATGAGATAGGGCTTTTTTAGGATTTAAAAAAAGTACACAATTGAATTTTATTTCTATTTTTGAATTTTATTTCTAATTTTATTTCTAATTTTGAATTTTATTTCTATTTTTATTTCTATTTTTTTCTAATTTTATTTCTATTTTTCTAATCCTCATACCTTTTATTTCTTTTTCTTGATGTACTGCACTGGTGAGGACCAGTGTTGAATAGCGTGCATATATCAGGCATCTGTCTGGTTCCTCTACTCAAGGGAAAACTTGAAATTTTCACCTAATGCAGTTTTTTTTTCTTTTTACATTTTAAGACTAACTTTAATTCGAAATCACATATCCATATACCTGTTTCCTTTTTTGTTGATTTCTCTTAAATGCATGTTTTGTCAAAGATTGTAAACAAATATTTACCATGTCTATTACACGTAACACACAGGAATGGCTTTTAACAGATACCCATCGGCTTCCCCTACAACATTTTTTTATTATAAATACAGGTATCAAAATAATCCTGAACATATTTTTGATACTACTAGTGGTCAGCACCGACACCACTTCAAAAATTAACACAATTTGTGATGAGATTCATTGTACCTGCTACTTTAGACAATTTCAACTTGAATCTCTTTCACTAAGATGGATAAAGCATGCCATTTCTGTTTTTCCTTTTTGAGATTTTTTTATTTTTCAGAAACACATGCTTCCACAGCATCTGATTCTCCATGCTTTCATCTTGTAAACCTGAATTCTGAGTACTCCAGGTTTATGGTTAAATGACAGTGCCTTAACAAGAGAAAAAAAAATGGTGCCGCGTTTTTCCTCCTGTAAGCTGAAAATATAATGGTGTACATATATTAAATATATTCTCACAAATTTCCAGGTCATGTTTACCAGCTGGAATTCTTTTACTTAATGTGTGGGTATTTTGCATTGTCATTTAACATGAGTAGAAGGTTGTTGATTTAAGACAAGTTTGAGATCCACTAAATTGTGTTATGTCCTTCTGGTGGCTGTGGAAGCTTCACATTTTCTTTGGACATCGTGAGACGTCTTAGCTCTTGAAGTACAACTTTAATGCTATATGAATTTTGCCATTTTGCTGACACTGGTATACTCCATGCACCCACCATTCTACTGGAACTATTAATTCCATTCATATTAATTTTGGTTACAAATCTAACTGATGGAGGAGCTTCTCGGTATTTAGGTCCACATTGTGCTTTCAAGCTATATATTGTTTTTGTCCATGGTGGGCCAACAATCATGCCTTCCCACCTTAGAGGTGTCATATCTTCATCATCTTCAAGGCCCCAGCTAACCATACCATTGCCTACTCCTTTTTGTCCTTCTTCAAGTTCTTCCAACAAGCGAAAATTACGAGGAGGAACTTTAACTCCTGTGGAGGCCACCATTTTCTCCTGTAGCCCCACCTAATGCAATTTTTTTTAATTGGAGTGTAGTTGACATACAATATTATATTAGCTTCAGGTTTATAACATAGAATTCCACACATATATATTATGAAATGATCACCAGGGTAAATCCAGCTACCATCTGGCACCAAAGTTATTACAGTACTATTGACTGTATTCCCTATGGTGTACTTTTCATCTCCATGACTTATTTTGTAACTGGAAGTTTATACCTTCACATATTTTGCCCATTTCCTCACCCCTCTATCCTCTGGTACCCACCAGTTCTCTGTATTTATGAGTCTGTTTTGTTTTTTAGATTACATATATAAGACCTATTGTATGCCTAATGCAGTTTTTTTTAACATCAGGTCCTAACTTGCTAAGAGTTTTCTTCATGAATCCACTTTCTGATTTCATCAAATGTGTTTCCTGCACGTAGTGAGATGATCTTAAGATTTTTACTTTGTTAACGTAGTGAATAACCATTTATTTCAATGTTAACCAACTTCGTAGTCATGGAATAAACTCAAGGGGTGGGGTTGTATTATCCTTTCTGTATAATTGTTGGTACAGTTTGCTTTCTTTTTCTTTTTTGCAAATATTCAGGGAGTGATACTGGCTAGTCATTTTCTGTTCCTGTGGTTTAGTACTAGTGTGCTGGTTTTATAAAACAAGTTGCAGAATTGTGACTCTTTTTTATTCTAAGTTGGTATGGTTTGGTATTAATTATTTTTAAAATTTTTGGTATAATTTGCTGATGAAGCCAACTAGTCCTGGCGTTTTCTTTGTAGATTTTTAAAAAACTTTCTGTTACAGTTTTTAATTTGTTTGAAAACAGGATTATGCATTTTTTCTATTCTTATAAGTGATTTTAGAAAGCTATTTTTTTCTTAGAAATGTATCCATTTTATCTAAATTTTTCAAATTTATTGGATCAAAGCTATTCATAATATTCTGTTTGAATCTTTTAATGTCTTCATGATCTATAGTGATACCTTCTTCATACTGATAGTGGTTATTTGTACCTTCTCTCTTATTTTCCTTATAACGTTTATCTGGGTTTTACTGACTTTATTAGTTTCTCCAAAGAACCAGCTATTGGTGTTCTTGATCCTCCTTTTCATTTGTATTAATTCTGGCCTTATTTTTATAATCACCTAACTCAGTCTTTGGTTTTAATTAGTTGCTCTTTTTCCAGCTTTTTCAGATGGGTGCATTGATATTCAACCTTCTTTTTATATATGCATTTTTTTTAAGACATTGTTAAATTAACATTTGTTAAGTGGAACTCGAGGTGCTGAATGGTGAACACAGTTCAACAACAAGCCATAGAGAAACTGAAACGGTTTATTATTAACAGGTCCTGGAGGAGGTACCTGACATACCTGGAGGGGCCACATGGGGAGGTCAGGGCAGGGTGCAGCCAGAGAGAAGGCAGGGCTCAAGGATGGATGCTTTGGGCTTCCTAGGCTGGGGATGGATTAGTCAATTCACTTCAAAGAGTAAGGTTTTGGTAGCTCCATGGGATCTTATTTAAGGGGTACACAAGGGGAAGGACCTTGGAGGTGAAGGAGATGGTTGGTCACAAGGTTCCCCTGGGGAACTGACATTTGCTTGTGACTGTGGGGGCTATCTAGGGTGTGTGCTTGCGTGAGGGGTTAGTGCTGGTTTAAGACCCCTGCAGGCTGCTTGGCCAAACAAAATGGATGCCACGGCAGCAGTACCCTGGAGTAGCTTAGCTAAACTCTCCACAGCATTGTACTTCTCCATTTCTCCTGAAGCTGGGCTTTCCCTGTGTTCCACAAGGCTTTGTTGGGTAAGTTGCAGCATCAAGGTCTGCTTTTCTGTTTTATCTAGTGGTTTATGTTCTCACTTCATCTCTAGATAAGCTTGATATTTTGTTTGTTGTTGGGCATTTTTTTGTTTTGCTTTTGTTTTTTAGTTGAGTATTGTATATATTTAAAATTGTTCAGCATTAGTTTGAGACCTAGAATTGTATTTTCTTTTTTCAAAATAGATTCACGTTTGCTTCAGTCATGATGTTTTTAGTGCTCATAATCCAGGATTATCTTAATCCAGTTGCAGGATTGGAGATTATTTAAAACTGGACTGTAGAACTGTGTGGGTCCCTGTAGGTGTGGTTCACCCTTGGTTCTGTATCAGCCCTTTGGGGTCTCCATCCAAGATGTGAGGGCTTTGCCAGATTCCCTTTTCCCATTCTGAGGCCGGCAGTCCAATTTTTGTCCCCCTTGTCCTCAGAGGCATTTAGAAGTGCTATGCAGTGTTTGCTAAATTTGACAAAGCCCTAGGAAAAGAATAACCCAGAATGCTAAACTCTTCTGATTGTGTCCATCTGTACCTAGAATCTTGGCTCAGTAATAATCCCTCACTGCCTCAACAGCTCTCCATGGCCTTCTGGTAGGTAGATAGACAGATGTGTTTGTGTATTTTATCAAAACAATACATACATGTTGCTTAAAAGGGCCATTGTGCAGTGCCGTGAAGTTCATAGTAAAAACAAAGAGAAACCAACAATCCTTTGGTCTACACTTCTCATTCTGTTTTATTAAGGCAGCCTTTTTCAGATCAGTTTTATGTTTCTTTTGATATTTACCTTTATATTTCCCAACAGTGTGCATATATTATCTTGATAAAATTAACTGTTGTTGAAAGAATTATGTATTGGATGACTTCTATTTCTGGAAAGATTACATAGAAGAGGAAAATTCTTTGACCCTATGAGTTTGAACATGCCTTTATTTTACCTTTCTTTACCTTTGATTGATATTTTAGCTGATTGTGAATTGCTAGGTGTATATTATTTTTCCTTGAAGGCACTTTTCCATTGTTTCTGACTTCCAGATTGCTTTTGGGAAACTTGATGCCATTGTCGTGTCTCACTGTTGAGTGTGATTTATCCCCACCTTCACCTTTAAAGAATATTAAATCTTTGTTTACTCCGGCTCTACTAAAATGTCACGATAATATGCTCAGTGTGGCACTGCTTTCATTCTCATGCTGGGCCCTTAGGGATCCTTTTGATCTAGAATCCATGCCCTTTCATTTGAGAAGTTTTTCTTGGATTATTTCTTTACTGATTTCTTTTCCATTTTCTCTATTCTTGTATTTCTTCAACTATTCTTACTTAGCTCCTCATTCTCCTGTCTGAGCTGATGTTATTACTTATCTTCTATTGCATCCATCTCCTTGTCTTTTTGTTGTCCTTCAGGGGAGAGTTTCTCAAGTATATTATTGTCCAGCATTTCTATAGGCATTTTTTTTTTTTTTTTTTTTTTTTTTTTTTTTTTTTTTTTTTTTTTTTTTACTTATGGCATGATATTGTTAATTTCCAAGAGCTCTTTAGTTTTCTGATCCCTTTAAAAAAATATTTTCCCCATCTTAGAGATAATTTTTCATGAGCACAATATCTTCTGAAGATTTAAATGAATGTTATTTCCTTCCAAATATGTTAAATAAGTGTTTTAATTTCATAAGTATTCTCCTTATTGTCTGTTTCCTGTGAATTTCATTTTGTTTATGTCTTTGGTGTAGAAAGCTTATCTTAAATGTCCTTAATTATCTGACTCGGCTCCCATGCTCTACTGAAAACGCGTTGCCAACTCTAACTCTTCACGTCAGAGGTTTTTTGAGAGGGAGTAGAGATAAACACACGCATAACACACCATCCTAACTGGAGCAGATAGGTTTTTTAAGTGGCTTGGTGCATTTGTTAGAGTAGTTTTGTGTGACAGATTCTGAGAAATGGAATTGCTGGGGTGGGCAGTTTAGATGTTTTCCTTTTGACAAATATTGAATAAAGTGTCCTTTTTGATCAAATTTACTTACCCAGTTGTTCATAAGTGGTAATTTACATTTTGTTTTCTGCCTTTTGTCTACAGGTTTCAAAAACTTTTAACAAACAAGTAACTCATGTGGTGTTCAAAGATGGATACCAGAGCACTTGGGACAAAGCGCAGAAGAGAGGGGTGAAGCTTGTCTCGGTGCTCTGGGTCGAAAAGTGAGTTTATTTTTTCTCTGTATTTTTTCTCTGTATTGAGTATCGGTCAGGTGTGGAGATAGTTCACATACATCACAGAACCAGATAAAATTTGATTTGGTCTTTTCTCTTGCCTTACTTGGGCAAGTCATTTAATACCCTCAAGCCTCCATTTCAGCAGCTGAAAATGGACGCGGTAGAATCCACAGCCCTGCCTACGGGGAAGGTGACTGCGCAGGCCCTGGGACACGCATACCTGGTGTACCGAGGAGACAAGGGCGTGCATGTGGTGCGGCCAGGGCTGCCAGACTGAAGTACCGCACACGAGGCCTACACAACCGATGTTCTTTTCTCACTGTCCTGGGGGTTAGAAGCCGAGGTCAAAGTGTTGGCGGGACTGCTTCCTCCTGAGGCCGCTCTACTTGGTTTGTTGATGGCTGTCTTCTCTCTGTCTGTGTCTTCTGGTGTGTGTGTGTGTGTGTGTGCATGTGCATGCGTCTGTCCATCCGTCAGTCCTAATCTCCTCTTCTTCTAAGGACCCCAGTTGTATTGGATTAGGGCCCACCCTAGTGATCTCATTTAACCTTAATTGTCTCTTTAAAGGCAGTATCTCCAACTATACTTGACACTTGGGGAAAAAAGTATTTGAACTGTGCAGGTCCACCTCTACATGAATTGTTTTTTCAATAACATCAACATTTTTCGGAGATTTGCAACAATTTGAAAAAACTCACAGATAAACTGCAGCCTTAAAATACTGATGAAAATTAAGAAATTAGGTATTATTTTAAGAATACAGTATATAATACATATAACACTACAAAATAAGTGTTAATTGCTTGTTATCAGTAAGGCTTCTGTTCAACAGTAGGTTATTAGTAGTTAAGTTTTGGGGGAGTCAAAAGTTACACATGGATTTTTGATTGCACAGTGAGGGGTTGGTGCCCCTAACCCCCATGTAGTTCAAGAGGCAACTGTACAGTTACATTCTGATGTACTTGGGGTTGAGACATCATATGAATTTTGTGGGGAACGTAGTTGAGCCCGTGACAGGTGCAGTTAAGGTGAGAAGTGGAGACTGAGGCCAGAGGGCAGTGGGGCATCAGATGACATGGGGCCTTGTGGGGTGTGAGGAGAGAAGTGTGTGGGACAGCAGCAGGAGAGTGGTTGGAGGCTCCTGAGCATCCAGCCTAGAGATGTCACCAGGACCATGGTGTCAGTGACATGGTCACGAAGAATGGTCAGATTCAGGATATATTTTTGAAGGTAGTGCCACACTAGATCTGAGGATTTGGATGCGTTTGTAGAGCAGGGGAAGAATCAAGGGTGACTGTGAGGTGTTTGGCCCGAGGAACCAGAAATACGGTTTGCTGTTTACTGAGACTGGGAAGGCCTCAGAAGCACCAGGTTTTGAGGGGCAGGTCATGAGTTCTATTTGGATATGCTGAATTTGGGGTGTTTATTAGACACCCCTGTGGAGGTGTCAGGTAGGCAGTTGGATATATGAGTGTGGAGCTCCTGGGGGAGGTTGGAGATTAAAATGTGGGAGTCTTCTGTATACAGATGTTATTTAAAGCCATAAATCTGGCTGTGATCTCTCAGGAAGTGTAGATAGGGAAGAGAAGAGGTTCCAAGGTTGATCACTCTAGTGTTGGGATGTTGAGAAGGAAAATGAGTGAGGATGGGATTCTAGAAAGCTGTCAAGGAGGGGATAATGATCAGCTGTGGCAAATAGGTTGAGTAAAGGCAGGTGCAGAGCCTGACAGAGGGCTCAACCCCATGACCGTGAGATTATAACCTGAGCTGAAATCAAGACTCAGACACTTAACCAACTGAGCCACCCAGGTGCCCGTAGATCTGTCCATTATTGAATGGGATATTGAAATCTCCAAACGTTACTGTTAAATTGATACTTTCCCCCTTAAGTTCTTTCAGGTTAGCATGTCTCTTCAAATTTTCTTAGTTTTCTTTCTCTGAAAATGTCCTTAATTCCATCATTACTTGTGAATCATATTTTCCATGGATGTGCAGTTCCAATTTGACAGTTTCTCCCCCACCCTGAATTACTTAAAGGTTTTTCCTGTAGTCTTCTGTCCTCTGGTGTTCTTTGAGAACCCTGTAGTCATTCAAATCATTTCTCCATTGTAAGTAGTGTGTCTTTTTTTCTCTGATGTCTTTCCACTTTTTCTCATGGTCTTTGGTTTTCAGAAGGTGAATGTAAGTGTTTAGGTATGGTGAGTAGATTCTTAGATTTTAGTAGATTCTGTGTATATTTCATTGAGCTTTTTGAATATGTAAGGTTATGTATTGGTTTCTAAAAACAGGATTAGTTTTTGGCCATTATTTCTTCAAATATCTTTTCTGTCCCATTTCCTTCTCTTTTCTTGGTTACTCTAACTGTATATCAGGGACTGGTAAAGTTTTTCTTTAAAATGACAGATAGTAAATACAGGCATACCTTGGATATATTTTGGTTTTGGCTCAAGACCTCTGCAATAAAGCAAATATCGAATAAAGTGAGTCAAATGAAGTGTTTGGTTTCCCAGTGCATATGAAACTTAGGTTTACACTGTACTGTAGTCTTTTAACTGTGCAATAATGTTATGTTTAAAAATACATTCGTTAATTTAAAAAAATAGTTTATTGCTAAGAAAATGTTAATCTTCATCTGAGGTTTCCTCCAGTCAAAATCTTTTTGCTGGTCCAGGGTCTTGCTTGCCTCAGTGTTGATGGCTTGGCTTGCTGGCTGATGAGGGTGGCAGTTTCTTAAAATAAGACAACGTTGAAGTTTGCCATGTTGATCGGTCCTTCCTTTCACAGACAGTTTCTCCGTAGCACGTGGGGCAGTTTGATAGCTTTTTGCCCACAGTAGAACTTCTTTCAGCTTTGGAGCCCATCCTCACAAAGCCTGCCGCTGCTTTCTCAACTCAGTTTATGTCGTGTTCTAAATCCTTTGTTGTCATTTCAACAATCTTCACATCATTTTCACCAGGACTAGATTCCATCTCAGGAAACCCCTTTCTTTCTTCATCCACGTGAAGCAACTCCTCATTTGTTCACATTTGGTCATGAGAGCACAGTGATTCAGTCCCATCTTCGGTTCTACGTCTGGCTCTCGTTCTCTGGCTCCTTCCACCACATCTTGCCTCTACTTCCTCCATGAAGTCTTGAATTCCTCAAAGTCACCCATAAAGGTTGGAGTCCACTTGTTCCAAACTCCTATTTATGCTGATATTTTGACCTCTTCCCATGAGTCACGGATGTTCTTAATGGCATCTAGGGTGGTGAGTCCGATCTGGAAGGTCTTCAGGTTACTTTGCCCAGATCCATGAGAGGAATCACCATCTATGGCATCTATAGCCTCGTGAAATGCATTTCTTCAGTAGTAAGATGTGAAAGTTGAAATGATTCCTTGATCCACGGGCTGCGGAATGGATGCTGTGTTAACGGGTGTGAAAACCGCATTCGTCTCATCGTGCGCCTCCATCAGAGCTCTTGGGTGACCAGGTGCGCTGTCAGTGAGCAGCAGTGGTTTGAAAGGGATCTTTTTTCCTCTCAGCAATAAGCTCTCAACAGTGGGTTCGCAATACTCAGTAAATCATGTTGGAAACAGACGTGTTGCCATCGGCTGTGTTGTTCTCGTCCTAGAGCACAGGCAGAGTCGATGTAAGCCCAATTCTGAAGGGCCCACAGATTTTCAGAATGGTACGTGGGCATCGGCTTGCACTTAAGGCACCGGCTGCGTTAGCCCCTGACAACAGCGTCAGTCTTCCTTTGAAGCTCTGAAGCCAGGCATCGACTTCTCTCTGGCGGGGAAAGCTCTGTAGCATCTTGTTCTAACAGAAGGCTGTTTCACCGACACTGAAAATCTGTTGTTTGGTGTAGCCACCGTCACAAATTATCTCCACTAGATCTTCTGGAGAACCTGCCGCAGCTTCTGCATCAGCACTTGCTGCTTCACCTTGAGATTTTATGCTACAGAGACGGCTTCTTTCCTTAATCCTCACCGACAAACCTCTGCTGGCCTTAAACTTTTCTTCTGCAGCTGCCTCCCCTCTCTCAACCTTCGTAGCGTTACAGAGAGTTAGGGCTTTGTTCTGGATTAGGCTTTGGCTTAAGGGAATATTGTGGCTGGTTTGATCTTTTATCCAGACCACTCAGACTTTTTCCATGTCGGCAGTAAGGCTGTTGGCTTTTCTTTATCATTTGTATGTTCACTGTCCTGGCCCTTTTAATTTCCTTCAAGAATTTTCCTTTGCATTCACAACTTGGCTAACTGCTTGGTGTAGTTTTTGGTTTGTTCTGGCTTTTGACATACCTTCCTCACTAAGCTTAATCATTTCTAGCTTTTGATTTAAAGTGAGAGATGTGTGACTCTTCCCTTCACTTGACCATTTAGGGGTCATTGTGGGGTTTATATTGTAATTGGCTCAATTTCAATACTGTTGTGTCTCAGGGAACAGGGAGGCCCGAGGAGAGGGAGATGGCCACACTGCTTGGTTGGTGGAACAGTCAGAACACACACATTTATCAAGTTCACTGTCTTACGTGATGGGTGTGGTTTGTGGCACTCCAAAACAATTACAGTAGTGATATCAAAGATCACTGATCACAGATCACTGTAAAAATATTGTATTGAAAGATTTTGAAATATTGGGAGTATTACCAAAATGAGACATGAAGTGAACAAATACTGTTGGAAAAATAGCACTGATAGACTTGCTCTCTGTGGGGATGCCACACACCTTCCAGTTTGGAAAGGATGCAGTATTTGCAGAGCATATTAAAGCTAAGTAAGTAACATGAGGTGTGCCTTTATTGTAGGCTTTGTGGGCCATGCGGTCTTTATTCAGCTACTGAATTCTTGTAGTGAAAGGAGCCATAGAGAATGAGCAAACAAGGGGTGGCTGTGTTTATTGTAAAACCAGGTGATGGTCCACGTTGACTTGGGGGCCTTAGTTTGCAAATCTCTGCTGTGTAATACGGTCTTCGCAATTTCCCCACTTGACCCTGATGCCCTG